AAGTTCTTATTCACAAAACCTGCTGAAGTGCACTCACACTCACATTATTTCACACTTTACACAGGTTAGCTAATAGGCCAGGATTAGGTTAGGAAGAAGCAAGGTAGGGCTGGTAGATGAGTATGGTAGGGTTGGGCACGAGATGGCACGAGGGTTGGGCACGTAGGATGGGCACGATGGGTTGGTAGGGTTAAAAGGAGTAGGATGGGCACGGTAGGGTTGGGTAATGGGTAGGTTAAGGCCTAGGGTTGGGCACGGTAGGGATGGGTAGGGTTGGGCACAGCAGGATGGCAGAGATGGAAATGTAGGCTAAGCACTGCAGGAGGCAACGTAGGATTGGACAACAGGGATGGGCACGTAGGGACGGGAATGCAGAAAGCAATGAGGGTTGGGCACAGCAGGATGGGCAACCCAAGAAGGCCTGCAACAGTAGGCAAGGCACCTGCAGGTCATACACTACTGGGCACACAAGCACAGGCTGGGCAACCAGGACAAGGCACCAAAGGGTTGGGCACAAGAGACAAAACAGGGTTGGGCACACAGCAGGGTTGGGCACAGTAGGATGCAAGACGGGCAAGTAGGGTTGGGCAACAAGGGACGGGCACCAGGGTTGGGCAACAGCAAGGTTGGCACAGCAGGGATGGGCACTTGCAGGGCTGGGCAAGCAGGTTGGGCACGGTAGGTTGGGCAAAACAGGGTTGGGCAAGGCAGAGGGATGGGCATGGTAGCACTGGTAGGGACAATGCAGAGGCCAAACGAAAGGCACGTAGGGTTGGGCACGGTAGGTTGGGCACTGCAGGGTTGGGCACGGTAGGGATGGGCATGCAAGGGATAGGCACTTGCAGGGTTGGGCAAGAGGCTGGGCACTGTGAGGGACGGGCACCTGGTCAAACAGCAGGATGCATGCAGGGTTTCTGGGGCACAAGAGGGACGGGCACGTGTGAGGGTTGGGCACAGGCTGGGCACCACAGGCTGGGGCACGGCAGACGGGCATGGCAGGCTGGGCACCAGGTCACACCAAGAGATGCAGAGGGCACTGTGGTTGGGCACTAAGAGGCTGGGCACAGAATTGGGCAGGGTTGCACAGGGTTGGGCACGGTAGGTTAAATGTAGGGATGTATGGTAGGTTGGGCACTGTAGGGTTAAAAATGCAGAGATGGGCATGGTAGGTTGGGCATTGTTAAAACAGGCTGTAGGGTTAAGGTAGGGTTGGGCAATGTAGGGTTGGGGCACTGCAGGTTGGGCATGTAGGGATGGAAAATGGTAGGGTTGGGTACTTGCAGGGTTGGGCAATGTAGGCTGCTGGGCACGCAGGGTCAGCACGCAAGAGGGTTGGGCACTGCAGGACGGGCACGGTGAGGAAGGCACAGCAGGGGTCAAAGGTAACCTGGCAGGACACTACAGGTCACACCCAGGCTTATGACGGGGCAATGTGAGGCTGGCACTGCAGGGTTGGGCACTCAGGCTGGGCACGCAGGGTTGGGCACGAGGGCTGGGCATGTGAGGGATGGGCATGGTTTGGGCACTGTGGTTGCAGGGATGGTATGGTAGGGATGCATTACAAGGTAGGAATAAATGAGATGCAGGGGTACGTGTAGGTTAAAATGTGGAGGATGGGCAGGGTTGGGCACTGTAGGGGTTGGGCAGGCAGGGATGGGCACGGTAGGAAGGCATTGCAGGTTGGGCATGGTAGGCTGGGTGCAGTAGGGATGGGTAGGTAGGGCTGGGTACTATGGGCACGGTAGGGTTGGGCACGGTAGGGACAATGGCAGGGTTGGGCACGGCAGGTTGGGCACAGGTGAATGCAGGGTTGGGCACGGTAGGTTGGGCACGTGCAGGGATGGTAGGGTTGGGCACACCAAGTACCCAGGGCCAAGTAGGCTGGGCACCTCACAGGGCTGGGCACGGCAGGGAAGGGCACGGAGAGGGTTGCAACGCAGGGCTGGGGCACCTGTAGGCTGGGCACGTAGGGTTGGGCACGGTAGGCTGGGCACGAAGCAGGGCTGGGCACAGGGATGGGCACGGCAGGTTGGGCACAGAGGGCAAGGCACGGCAGGGCTGGGCACCAGGGTCACCAAGAGGCTGGGCACCGCAGGTCAACAGCAGGGCGGGCACGGCAGGGTCACACCGCAGGGTCAAGGCTGGCAGGCTGGGCACGGTGAGGCTGGGCACGGCTAGGGCTGGGGCACCTGCAGGGTTGGGCACGGCAGGTCGGCCACCCAGGTCTGGGCACCCAGGGCTGGGCACCCGCAGGTCTGGCCTGCAGGGTTGGGCACCCAGGGCTGGGCATGGCAGGGCTGGGCACGCAGGGGCTGGGCACCCAGGCTGGGCACCAGCAGGGACGGGCACCGCAGGGTTAGGGCACGGCAGGACGGGCACCTGCAGGGTCACAACGGCAGGGTTGGGGCACTGCAGGGTTGGGCACGGGCAGGGCTGGGCATGGCAGGGCTGGGCACGCAGGATGGGCACGCAGGGTTGGGCACGGCAGGGTTGGCTACGGCAGGGTTGGGCACGCAGGGCTGGGCACGGTAGGCTGGGCACGTGCAGGGCTGGGCACTGCAGGGCTGGGCACAGAGATGGGCACCTGCAGGGTTGGGCACGGTGCAGGGTTGGGCACGGTAGGGCTGGTCACTGCAGGATGGGCACTGCAGGGTTGGGCACCCAGGGCTGGGCAACGGTAGGGTTGGGCACGGCAGGGTTGGGCACTGCAGGGATGGGCACGGCAGGGGCACGCAGGGTTGGGCACGGCAGGGTTGGGCACAGCAGGGATGGGCACGCAGGGATGGGGCACGGCAGGCTGGGCACTGCAGGGTTGGGCACTTGCAGGGCCAACTGCAGGATGGGCACCCAGGGGCTGGGCACCAGAGGGCAGGGCAACGGTAGGGCTGGGCACTGGCAGGATGGGCACCAGGGTTGGGCACGGCAGGGTTGGCAACGGTAGGGTTCAACAGTAGGTCGGGCACCAGGGGGTTGGGCACCTGTAGGCTGGGCACGGCAGGTTGGGCAACTGCAGGGTTGGGCACCAGGGTCACACCTGCAGGCTGGGCACCGAGGGCTGCACGGTGGGTCAGCAACGGCAGGTCACACCTGCAGGGCTGGGCACCAGGTGACGGGCACATGGCAGGGCACCACAGGGCCGGGCACCCAGGGCATGGCCAACAGCAGGACGGGCAACGACAGGGTCAGGGCACGGCAGGGCTGGGCACGGCAGGACGGGCACCCAGGGTTGGGCACGGCAGGGCTGGGCACCGCAGGGTGGCACAGCAGGGTTGGGCACAGCAGGATGGGCACGACAGGTTTAGGGCACCAAGGGTCAAGGGTAACTGGGCACCCAGGGTTGGGCAACTGCAGGGCAGGGCACCAGGTGGGGTTGGGCACCAGGGCTGGGCACCTGGCAGGTCACACCGGCAGGGTTGGGCACTAGCAGGGCAATGCAGGCTGGGCACTGCAGGTTGGCCCAGGGTTGGGCACGGGTAGGCTGGGCACGCAGGGCTGGGCACGGCAGGGCTGGGCACTGCAGGGTTGGGCACGGTAGGCTGGGCACTGCAGGGCTGGGGCACCTCTGCAGGGGCTGGGGCACGGCAGGGTTGCTGGGTGAGGACGGGCACCCAGGGTTGGGCACCCAGGGCTGGGCACCCAAGAGGGTTGGGCACCTGAGGGTTGGAAGGCCAGCAGGATGGGCACAGCAGGGTCACACCTGCAGGGCTTGGGCACGGCAGGGACGGGCACTGACAGGGCTGGGCAACAGCAGGGACGGCACACAGGGATTAGGCACTGCAGGGATGGGCACCCAAGAGGGCTGGGCACCCACAGGGCTGGGCACCCAGAGGGCTGGGCACGCAGGGTCACACCCACAGGGCTGGCGCACCCAGGGCTGGGCACCCAGGGTTGGGACGGCAGGGTTGGGCACGCAGGGCTTGGGCACAGGGACGGGCACGGCAGGGTGGGCACCAGGTCAACAGCAGGATGCAGCACCAGGGATGGGCACGGTAGGGCCACCAGGGTTGGGCACCGCAGGGTCAGCACAGCAGGGTTGGGCACAGCAGGGATGGGCACCTGCAGGGTCACACCGGTAGGGTTGGGACGGTAGGGTTGGGCACTAGGGGTTGGGCACCAGGGATGGGTACTGTAGGGCAGCCCAGGGATGGGCATGGTAGGGTTGGGCATGGTAGGGTTGGGCACTGCAGGGTTGGGCATGGGTAGGGTTGGGCACGGCAGGGATGGGCATGCAGGGGTTAGGCACTGCAGGGTTGGGCACGGTAGGGTTAAGGTAGGATGGGGCACGGTAGGGTTAGGCAATGAGATGGGCACGAGTAGGTTGGGCACCGGAGGGGTTGGGCACGGTAGGGATGGGCACGGTAGGGTTGGGTGAATGGGTAGGGATGCAATGTAGGGTTAGGCACGGCAGGGTTGGGCACGGTAGGGATGGGCATGGTAGGCTAGGCACGGTAGGCTGGGTCATGGTAGGGTTGGGCTGGGTTTAATGAGGGTGTAGTGGTTGAGTTGGTCAGATAATGGAAGAGATAATGGTGGGAGATAATGGTAGAGATAATGTAGAGAGATAATGGGAGATAATGGTGGAAATAATGGTGGATATAATGATAGAGATATGGGAGATAATGGTAGAGATAACGGGGAGATAATGGTGAAATAATGGATATAATGATAGAGATAATGGGCGTTAATGGTAGAGATAATGGTGTAGAGATAATGGTAGAGATAATGGGAGATAATGGTAGAGATAATGGGAGATAATGGTAGAAATAATGGCAGAAATAATGGTAGAGATAATGGTAGAGACAATGTGGTAGAGATAATTGTAATGGTCCACACTGAGCCTTGGGAACTCCACAAGTGACGTTACCAAAATTTAATTTAGTGCCGCTAATGCTCACCTTCGTTTCGTCCCTGTAACCACGCCTCTAATCCAATTTAGAATATCTCCTCCAATGCCACAAGCCTCCACTTTTATTATTCGTGGGGACTCTGTGGAAGGCTTTACTAAAGTCGAGGTATACCACATCATAATTGTGCCCATCATCCACTGATTCAGAAAACAGCTGAAAATTTTTAATATATATGTCAGACATGAACGCCCACTTGTGAAGCCATGTTGGGAATCATTGATCAACTTGTTCTTCTCCAGGTGATTTCTCAACAGAGTTTGGAAATGATTGCTTCCAGTAATTTGCCTACAATTGATGTTAAGCTGATTGGACGGTAGTTAGAGGATAGTGATCTATCTCCCTTCTTGAAAATCGGTATTAATAGCTATCCTCCAGGATTCTGTACTAGACCTGCTTTTAAGGACATGTTAAAACAACTTTGCTAAGGGCATGCTTAGCTCTTCCTACATTCCCTTTAATACTCTGGGCAAATATCTCATCGACCTTCGGACTTATTAGGCTTTAGTTTGTCTATTTGCTTAATAACATCGCTATTCGCCGTCACTACTATATCGCTTAATCTTTCTTTTTCACTATTCTATAGAGTCGGTGCCTCGGGTATCATGTTTAAATTTTCAGTGGTGAAAACTGTTGAAAAATATTTATTCAGATTATTGCTCATTTCTCTGTCGTTATCAGTTAGGGGCTCTACCGGTATCTGACTGTACTGGTCTCAATCTTTTTCGTGTTTAGGCTTGGATACATTTGATAGAATCCCTGGGGTTTGACTTCGCCTCCCTTGCTACCTTCAGTTCATTATTCCTCTTTTTGCTTTTCTTATCTCGGTCTTATCCCTACCGGCCAATTCATCTACATAAAACAAAGAAGCGTCTGTTTCTATGTTTGTGTGTGTGTGTTTTGTTTGGTGTGTCCTCACATTTATAACTTCGGGAAACCACTTTTTACCGATATGTAGTACGATGGATGGTGTTATATGGAGTGATGATGGATGGTGTTATATGTAGTGATGATGGATGATGTTATATGTAGTGATGATGGATGTTGTTATATGTAGTGATGATGGGTGGTGTTATATGGAAGTGATGATGGATGGTGTTATATGTAGTGATGATGGATGGTGTTATATGTAGTGATGATGGATGGTGTTTTATGTAAGGATAATTAGACAATAAAATAATAACAGTTTAATGCTAAAAAAATATACTTTGTTGCACCGTTGTAGTGAAAAACATGGTGGAACTTATATAATGGTTCATTGATGGAAGAAGAAGTTTTGGGGACTGGAACAGTGAGACAATGTGGAGCCTCCTGAGGATAGCGTCCTACCGTGGCTCCAGCGGATGAGCCGCCTAGAGAGCGGCACCCATAGTTCCTTATAATAACTTCGGAAGTAACCCCCCACCACTATTTATTCTCCTACCTATAGCCTTCTTTATCCAATAATATTCTTTAAATAATTATTTATCCATTTGCGGTCACTGTTGTCCAATCTGAGTTTTCTGTATGGTATGTTCTGCCTTTGGTGCATTAAGTAACCTATTATTTAAATTGTTGTGGAACTTAATGTCATCAGATCTCGTGATCAGGTCATCCCTGCTAACCGTCACATTTTGTGAGGATATCGTTGTCAGGTCTCCAGGTAAAGTGAGTGGGTTACTCCTTTGGGTACATTATGTGAGGTCACCTCACGTGAAGTCATGTAATTCACCCCAAAAATGCAATACCCTTCTCTAGCCGTCTTTTCAACCTATCAAAGTTTGCCCTTCTGAAATCTGTGACTTTAATTCCCTACCTCTGTAGGTTGAGGTATATAAGCCACTGTGCCGAGTAGCAACCCCATAAGCCACTGTGCCGAGTAGCAACCCTGTATATAAGCCACTGTGCCGAGTAGCATTTATATATCATCAAGTGGCAACACTGCACGTTATGTGGCAACATTTTCGCTCCGAGGCTGCTATATGGCAAGGCTGCCCTAGTCTGACTGTGTGAGCTGCATGGTACACGCGAGTCACCACTTGTATTTCTCATCCATAATAAATTGACCAGTGTTACATTGCGTTTCCCTACCCATCACTGCATTCTCAGGGAACACTAGTAACAATCAACCCTAGGACTTCATAAAATGAGGTTTTCTCTGTTTGACAGAACTAAACCGAGTATATTATTGATTCCCGGGTGGGTTCGGTTATATGTTGACTTAGGAAACAGTCCTGAACTGTTTCAAGAAAATCCTCGGATTCTGAGTTACCAGTAAGGTCGGTCCAATCTATTTGGCTAAAGTTAAAGTCGCCTACTATACAGACTTTGCTATGTCTGGATGCCTTTTGCATTTCATCCCAAATAAGTCGCTCATTAACCTTGTCAAGATTAGGAGGTCTATATATTAGTCCTGTAATTAATTTTCCTCACCATCGGTTAATTCTATCCAAATTTTTCCTGTATTCCATTTCAGTTTTTATTTCCTTATTTATTTCACACTTCAGATTATCCCCTGACATACATTGCTACTCCAATTTCTTTCCTAATCTGCCCATCGGCATGGAATAATTTGTAACCTGCAATTTGGTAACCACCCGAGTCTAGGTTTTATTCATGCTCCAGAGAAATACTTTTTATATCGATTTTTTCGGTACATACCAACGCCCTGATTTCATCCATATTTTGTTTCTCATGCTTCTACTGTTTGTGTAGTAGACATTTAAGTTTGTAATGATCTCGAATCCTCCCTTGTCGCATTTAGGTTTCAACTCCCTGCCTAATTTAGTTTTATCATCACTCCCAGCACTATTTCCCCTGTAACTCAATTTGTTTACCCGCCTCACTGCAGTTTCCCTCCATCCTCGCTCATATGTTCCCCAGCAGTCTAAAGACTTCGACATCTTTTGAACTGCTCCCTTCGAGAGAGCCAACCAGGGTTGCTATCCCCATCCCAAGAGAAATGTGTCCCATTCTAGTATTAAAGGTCCTTCTCCTATAAAAGAAACGTCCTAGTTGTCAATGAATGGGACTGATATTGACTTGCAATATTCGGTCAAATGGCTGTTGATACCAACTGCCTGGCGACAACCATTCATTGCCAACCTCCTTCTAGGCAGGTGACACCACATAAGATATGGATCCCTCCCTTCACCCTAATACGTCTCTATAGCTGTCTTGGAACTTATCAAGAAGCTCCTCACCTCACACTGGCCAATATCATTGCCCTGTACTAAGGCAGATAATGGGTTTGTTCCATTACCAGACAGATACGTTCATCCTGTCAACTATATCCCCCACCCCAGCTCCTGCCAACACACTTGCATCCTATTTTTATTTTTTACCTACAAAAAAAAAGCTCTGTCTCATGCACTGTACCTGGGGAATGAACAATGACGAAGGTTTTGGTACCTTCCTTTGTCAGCCTTGTCCCTGACTTTGTCACCACGCAATTTGTCTAAAGGACCAAAAGAATTAGTACACTTAGCTGTTGTCGATCCCTGCGTCTTTCTCTCACCACCAGTTTGGTCGTCCTCTCCTCACAACTCCATTCTCCTGTGTTTTCGTTGGACACGGTCTTCCTTTGTCTCCATGTCTTCCATTTCATCTCACAATCACTTCCTCTAATTTCAAGTTTTCCTTGACCTTCACTAACTCGGCCCCTCAGAACGGCACAGCCCTGTTCACAGGCAACACTCAGCCATTACTGACAATTAATCCCTCGGTACAACCAGCCAAAAAGCCTCCCTGTACTCAATAGTGACCTAAGGACCTACACAGTGCTCATACCAGGTCGCCAATTATCAAAACTATTTACCCAACAACAAATACACAGCATTAGGGTTGATTTATTTAACACATACATATTGTAAATTAATATATATATATATATATATATATAAATATATATATATATATATAAATATATATATATATATATATATATATATATATATATATATATATATATATATATATATATATATATATATATATATATATATATATTAAAAACAATGATACACATACAGGAACAAACCAATGTAATATATAGCCTGACCCATGGAACAAGCTGGGTAATTACTGAACAGGTAAGGTTGGACTGAGGGCTGTGGTCTCCTACCCTTAGACAGGAGATTAGAAATTGTTCTTATATTCATAAGTTTTTATTATATTTTTATTCGTTATTTCCTTTTGCCCAATCGTTCATATATTAATAAGACTCTCCGGTCTGCATGAATTCTGAATGTTTTCAACTCCAATATGCGTTCAACTTGTTTCTAATGTTGGATTTCAGATATGAATTCAGTTTTC